CGCTTGTGTGCGACTTGAAATGTGCGCCTATGTGTGTGTGTGTGTGTGTGTGTGTGTGTGTGTGTGTGTGTGTGTGTGTGTGTGTGTGTGTGTGTGTGTGTGTGTGTTAGACAAGAATGTGGCCACAATATGTAAGTGGATTCACGAGGTTCTCACATGCAAATTGCCTCCTTTGCTAGTGTCACTGGTGTTTTACCGTGGAGCAGAATGTCCAGCTGTGGAAGTTTGCTTCCTCTAAGTGGTTAGAGCTTCCAGTGTGCAAAGTATTTTTAGATCTTTGCAGTCACTGTCCCCCACAAAATGCTGCATGCGACACAAAAGAAAGGCGCAATTTACAAAGGCACCATTCACTCGCTGTGTGCACAGGGCGTGCTTTACATCTTTCTGAATACACTTTTTTCTCTTTTTGTGTTTGCAGTGCTGGCGTGGGCAGGACCGGAGTCTTTATCACCCTTAGCATCGTCCTGGAAAGGATGCGTTATGAAGGTGTGGTTGATATCTTCCAAACGGTGAAGATGCTCCGAACACAGAGGCCAGCTATGGTCCAAACTGAGGTGAGAAATCACAGAGTCACACACAATAACATACACTGCTCCTTATTTGGATAGACTTGTGGAATTTTAAAAGACCACCAATAAGTTAGCAACGCTCTATTAAACCACTTTTGGGTGGGTGTCTTCACCCCCATAAGGTCTATTATTGGTTTTCTGGTCTTCCTGTGTGAAAATGGGTAAATGCAAAATCAAGTTTTTGTATTTAGCAAAAAATTTTTGCTCATGCCAATCTAGGCTTTCTACTTAGGTATAGGATCTATAGAATGATCTTGTCAGGACATGCGCTGCCTCAGCAAATTGCGAAATTTACTGCAAGTTGAAATTGTCTGAAAATTGTAATCTCTCATGTCATTAAACTCCTGGGGAGGTGTTCTAATGCAATTTGTTATGCGTCTGTCTGTTTTTTTCCCTCCACAGGATGAGTATCAATTCTGCTATCACGCAGCTCTGGAGTACTTAGGAAGCTTTGATCACTATGCAACGTAAAAAGCCATCTCCCCCCCCTCCCCCTCCTCTGAATCCTGTTGCCCCCCCACCCCCACCTCAACAGCCTCTTGAGCCATAGGAACTAAAATTTAAAACGACAGCAAACAACCACATCGCCACCGCCAATTCAGCCACATCAACCAGGATCTCCTAGATTTTTTTTTTTTTTAAGACAACACCCGGTCCAACCAGTTCAGAGTCCAATTTGACTTTTCAAATATGCCACAAGGAAACACAAGAAAATTGTCCATCATCTCAAGAAAAGAAGATCCTCGGCAGGGGAGGAACCAGATGCTGTGGCTCAAGATGTGGGGCGGGTTTTGATCAAAGTGTCAGACTGCTTACCTTACCTCAAGTGTTTCAATGTGGAGGACATTGTAAACATTCGTGGACGTTTCTCTTCTCAAAAAATATCTTCGTGACACAACAGTAACAAGCGACAGATGACGAAGGAAAAGGAAGGCAAAAAAAATACAAATAAAAATGTAAAAAACACTGAGAAGCAGATGGATGTAGCCAAGACTTGGTGACTATCTTGTTTTTTGATATGTTCGGGTGTAAAAGGGGTTCAAGTATTTCCATCAACACAGTGTGTGAGTAATATTGTGAGAAATGAAGAAACTGGTTGCCTGCATAAAAGATTTATCAAGCTGTACAAAAAAAGTGAAACAAAATAAACAGAAAAGGACAAGTTCACTCACATTCGGCACCAAATCCTTCAAGAAAACCTAAAGTTTTTACAGTATTTTGTGTGGGATAACACTCGACTATTAAAGCGACTTCTTCTCGAGCACTAAGAGCTAAAAGAAGACACTTTTTGGTTTTCTTACAGTTGTGAGGATGAAAACAGCGACACATTTCTTAAAATGTGCTAATTGCATCAGTTGTGAATTCGTGTGAAATCAGTATCCTCAGCCAGGTAATCGCAGGAATGTTGCAACACGCCAGTATATTAACAGTGCAAAGATCAGTCACCGGATAAAAGTCTCGCCTGCTGCACGAAGCTTCCGCCGCGTCGTCTTGCGTGCAGCCAAGGTGAGACAAGCGGCAGCCGTGTCCCGTGATTTTTCTTTCTTTCTTCTGTTTTTTAACAATCGCTCCTGTCTTTGGAACCACTACATTGTGGGGCTGCGGTTTCAACATCCACGGTTTTGAACAAGAGATAAACCTGGTGGGGGGGGAAGGCTTTGGAACAAAAATGGAACAACCAAACAAGGATTGCCGCAAAAGTGAGGGCTCTCTTTGTGTACAGTGACCAACGCTCATCGTCATCCTCCAGAACTTTGTCTAATGAGGAATTATCTCGTTTTTCTCGTTTTTTTTTATTATTATGATTTTCTGTCAAAACCAAACATGCTGCTTATCTCGTGTACGCTGTACGTGTGACTTTGGAAGGAGAGGAAACTGATGAATCAAAGATGCCATCTCTGATAACTGGCATGACTGAAAGCGCATCCACTTGACGTCATCGTCCACGCCTCCTTTTCCCCTCCCTCTCGCCCAGCCTCCTCTATAATCATCTATATCATTGTATAAGACGCTCAAGTGGCAAAGGCCTGCTGCAGTTACCAAGCTGCACATTAATGTGGTTGAAAAATTGGCCTTTAGTTCCACTGTTTGTGTGTTTTGGTGACAGGTGGATACATTTAAACAAAAAACAAAAAAAACAAAAAAACAGATGCTTTGGTATTTGCCCTCCGTTTTCAAGGTGATGTCTCTGTGGGTGACACAGCCAGACCAAGGAGCCATGATGGATCTCGACGCTGTGACGCATTCCTAAAACTCTCCAGTACAAGTTACTTGCACATCCCCAAACGAAAAAAAGATTAACTTTAAACGTATTACCCCCGCCAACCCCTCCCTACTCTCCCCGAACAACTGCAGGTCGACACACTAGTGTATGTTGTGATTTAAAAAGAAAAATCAAGCTTTTGAGATCACCGGGTTTTCATTTCGAGAACAGCGCTTTGGTATACGCGAGCGTTACGGATCCCGCGCAGGTTTCCGGTGGGTGTGCACAAAAGCCGGAGCGATGGACAGAACTGTGTGTAATCTTTTCTTATTTCCAAAAAAGCCTTATTGTTATTGTAACATTACGAAAACATTAATGTTGTATTATGACGACTTATTTTACACTACATAGTTGACTTTTTATTATGTTTTTGGTTGTTTTGTTTTTTTTTTCAGTTTAGTTTTCTAACAGATGTTGTATCATTTTTTTAAATTAGCAGGAAAAGAGAAAAGCTTATCTGTTCATATTATGTTTAAAGACATTCTATTTTTTCACTGTAGAAATGTTAAGTATAACATGGCTGTGTGCTTGTGCGCATATATGTATGCATTCATGTGTACTGCGCACTCACACATTCATATATATTTAAATGCAGAATATGAAGATATATCCAAACCTTAGTATGAATTATATGTTTCTCCTCATCATCTTTTTTGTTTTTTAAACATGTCAGTTCTCATGCTTGAAAATATGATTTTATTTCATTTTGTTTTTCTTTGTGTGTGTGGTTTTTTTAATATATACATACATATATATATATAAATATATAATCTTAGAGACCTTGTGTGTTTCTTAATGGAAGCTGAGGGAAGCACTATGCCTGAATCCTCTGCCTCCACTCACCATTGCTCTTCTACCTGAGGGTAGAACCTGTGCCGATGAGGAGACGCCATTTTTTATTTCTATTTTTTATTTTTTTGTCGTTTTTTCTTTTTCTTTTGAGCAACTGTTGATGAAGTGATCTACAAAATATCAATCAAATATTTCAAAACTGACGATTTTTTTCTTACCTATATAGGACCAACTTGACGAACTGTATCTTGTATGATCATGGTCAGGCTATGACCCTCGCAGTTTAAGAAAATCCTCTTCAAGTTCTCTTTTCTTTTTTTAATTTTTCAGACATAATGTGGCCATTCATTTTGTTAGATATCCACTATGATCTAGAGTATACCTGTAAATAAACAAATATATAGATTATATGTATTTGTATCATTTGACCTTCAAGATCTCATACTTTAGGTGGGGACAGAAATACAAAAATCAAAGTCCATCTCACATCCTGGTGGTTGTAGAGCCTGCTTTCTGAAACCTCTCTTCTCCAGTCCTTCCTCCCTGGTCTTTAATTACCACTCACTTTTCTTCTGACTTTAATTTCCCCTGCTAGCAGTTGAAATGGGAAACATGCCAGCCTCTGTTCTCATACCTATAGCCTCAAACAGAGCACGAAATCAGCACCAGTGATCTGCTGGTATAATTTGACCAAGCCTGGGAGGTTAGTTCTTTCTGTCAACTATTTGAATTGCTAATCAATCATTATTTCAAGGACCTGTTACATTCTTATTCTAGGTGTAAGACAGAGTGGAGCAACTAAAGGGTGTTTTTGAAAAAGAAATATTGTCTTAAAATAATTCTCAAACAAAGGATTAATCACAAAGGTGTAAATTCTTAAAGCCACAGCTACGGTAAAAACGCTGGAGGCATCCTTCATTCCTTAACACTTTCCACAAAACCCCCAGAAGATGTGCAACTGTTCAACTCCCTAAAATGCCAAGGTGTTAATCCATAAATATATCATTAGCTGAGGAGCAAATACAGCTATGCTAAAGGCCAGACATGGTTCAGTTCCAACATGACACGTTGATTTATTGTCTCCCCGGTGCATTTTTTTTAAGCCTGGAACAGAACCATACTGTTTTTTTCTTTGGTTTTTGTTTTTGTCTTTGACCATGCTTCATTTTGGGATGCAGAAAGAAATCAGGACTCAGTGAAAGATAGCAGAGTGATGCAACCAAGGAAAGACTGAGACAACCAAAAACGTGCTGCAAATTCACATTTCCAGCATGTCATTTCTGAACAGTGGGAACCTTGAGATGTTTCATAATGAACTCAAAGCCTAAGATGAAAGACTCTGGAATTCAGTGAGGCTGATGAGAAAGGGCCCAGGCCAAAACTGAAACCATGGAAGTCTTTCAAAGCTTGTGCAATGTGTTACGTTTTTTTTGACTTAATGTGAAGATGTTAGGCTTTTGAAAACAAACCGCCAAATTTGCAGGAGTATGTTGAATATTTCAGGGGAAGAGGGGAAATAACAAAAGATGAACCCTAACTTAATCAATTAATCAAAATAACAGAACGTATACAGTACGACAAATTGGAAAAAATAAAAAACAACCCAAATTCAGAAAAATACTTTTTTTGTATGAGGGCCAAGTGCTATCACTTTCAAACTGTTACTTCTAACTGAAACAATAATTGGTTTAAAGCCACTGTGTATGTAGATATGTTGACTTTGTATTAAAGAAATGTTGTCTGAAAATCATTTTGCATGTGTTTCTTGCTGGTAAGATTGGTTACAGCATGGATATCTCTCCTCCTGTCTGATTGTCTGCCTACAGTATTTCCCCATCTGTTAATATGCAAATTTCTGGTGAGAGTTATTTAGCTATGATACTTGAAGTACATCAGCACTTACTTTGCGCATCATACATCAGACTGGAACTTGCACTGAAAAGAAAATCTGTTCTATAGGACGAGTGATGAAACTCACAGATGGTGCGCATCGTTTGTTGATAGATGGCTTGATTAGCTTCCTCCTATATTTATCCACCAGCCTCTCTGCAAACACATCCCAGTGTGTCCTTAAGCTCCTCTTCAAGCTTGATAAATGCCATGCAGACAGGCTGATATTGGTGCAGAGGTAAACCCTTACCTAGTGGTATTTACTCTCTAATCTGTCCTCTTTGGATATCGGCTAACCTCGAAGTGATGCTTCTGGAAATCAAAGGGTGTGTTGGTCCCAGACCTGACTGTGTTTGCCTTAAAGATATTGCTTTAGATTACAACCTGCAAATTGCAGCGTGTGCTTTTTTGGTATTTGCACGGTATCCCTAAAATATTTGTAACAATAACTCTAGCGAGACAAAAAAGGGAAGAACAAAGAGGTTGGGGAATGAGGGGGTAGCTAGGATTCATTTTTCAACATTTTTTCTCATTTTGTTTTTGTTTTTTAATCTTTTTTTTTCCCCTGAGGAGTAGGAATGACGAATCTCAGAGGTAATGGGAGTGAATTAGTTGCAAATTCTACAGGATGCCATGTGTAGTGTGTATTTTATTTTATATATATGATGAATTTCAGAAGCAGTAGCATGCACAG